TTAATCTAATATTGGAGGGGGTTTATTGATAAAAAAATTAAATCATTTTAACATATTTCAATATGAATTACAACCATACAAATCATTGTTTCCTTTTTTATTTTTCTTCAATTTGCTTAATTAGACTTGCTTTTGAATTATTTAATATAAATTTTTGGTAATTTCTTAATAAATTAATTTAAATTTAACTAGTTGATGAGTTCATCAAAAAGAGGGCTGTTTTTAATATAATGAAGTAATGAGATACATAATCCCAGTGATTTCTAAATGTTTATTATTTGATGTATCACTTAGTTCTTTAACTTAATCAGTAATTAAGATTGTTAGTCGGTTGTTAGGGAAAATATAATAAGTATCTCCTTAAATCTTAATCCTTTTAAGGGATATAATACTTCTTGATATTTAATATATCTTTAAAGTTGTTTATACTATTTAATACTTTTCATATCAATTGAAGAGGTTACGAAGATATTAGCAAAAATAGAGTAGAGTAATTTTTAAAATCATTCAATCTCAATGTTTTAACTTTGTGATAGGTTAGATTATTTATAAAATTAACTTTATTTTTGAATTCTTGAAGTTATTATCTTTTTGATAAAATATATCTTTTCCTATTTATGGATTAAAATTGATCTTATAAAATTATTAATTTATTATTTTTAATATCAATCCCTATTATAAAATAATAATACATTAAGTTAATCTATCTTATAATATACTAGATATATTATAAAAGAATGTTGTAATAATTAAGTTTTCTTTAAGCAATTATATTGATCTTTATTTGTATTTCTTGATTAAATATAATGTTTTAAGTTTAGATTATTTATTTAAAGTAGTATCATTTGATAATAATTGATAACCATTTTATGAAATTAAATAATTAATACCTAGATGAAGAGTGAACCTTATAAAGAGAAAATTTAAAAAAAAATAATTAGAATTTAGTGTAATGATAATTATAATATTGTAAATGAATAATCATGCTCACTTTTACTTTAAATCTTCTAAAA